CCTCCCCGCCTCCCCCCCACCGGGAGGAAGGCAGCCCCCTCCGGCCCGGCCAGGCCGAGAGGGCGGGCGATCCAAGAGCGGAAGCCGCGCCGAGGCTGGAAAGGTTGGCGGGGCGCTTGGGGCGTTTTTGCGCCCGGGCGAAGGGGCTGCGCGGCAGCGGGGGGGTCCCGGGCACTCGGCTTCCTACCCCCCCGGCAGCCCTTGCTCTCTCCAGCCATGGGGGAGCCGGAGGAAGAGGAGGCGGCTGACTTTGAGTGTCTTTTACTGAAAGCAGCCATGTTTGACAGTTTGCTGTTTGATCAGTTAAGCTGTAAATGATGAAACGGTTTTTATTCTTTCTCCTACTAATGTCTTGGAGTGAGTAATTGAGACTGTAACTGCCAGCTAATGAGAAAAGGGGTGGAGTAATCTTGGGAACTCGAATCTATTCTGCTCTGCGAATCCCTGCACTTTTGCTGTGCAGCTAGAGGAATTTAACAAAAATTCAAAATTCTGCAACAATGTGAATATTACAAGCACGTCTAACAGTACTTCTACAACAGTAGCAGTAATATTCAAGTTACACAGCTTTCCCTTTACAGTACTGTAAAATTATAAATAACATTAAACTTATTGGAAGAAGCAAATGGGTATAGACCATAAGCCTTTCAAAAATAATTTATGAAAGTAATATATACAAGAAAAAAAAATAAAGCATTGTATAAAAGGACGAATGTGCTGAAATATTATATAAACAACATACACTTTTGTGGCTGTACAGTTTCCCTATAAACTGAATTATTTACAAATATACATGAATACAAATTAAATTCTAATTTAATTTTTTCTTGTTGCTTACTGGGAATTTGGCATTGTATGAAATCTGAACTTTTACACAATTCATATGTATACACACACACAAACACACATTCTTGTTAGAAAGTGCTTTTGAAGACTGAAATGGCTTCATATTGTGATGACATTTTTGTCATCTTCCAATTTTCTCCTACACTGTCGTTTTATCTTCTGATTTTCAATTTTTATGCAATTTAGAACTTTGTTTCTGGTGGTGCCTGTGGGAAGGAAAGAAGAAAAGAATATGTTACTCTTCTGTCTGAAAAGTGTTTGGTTTATGGCATCATAGGTAAGCAATCTAGAAGCATCTTCTACAGACAGTATTCAAATACTGTATGGGGAATCACAGGCATATGACTACCTCAGAGCTGACATTTAGTTCATGCTATTTTCCTTCTCAGGAAACAGAGGTGATGAATAAGCAGTTAGGAAATGTGTGTCAAGGCCAAGCATCAGCACAAATGTAATGGCAGAGTATGTTAGTACTCCTTTCCTTAGTGCTAACATAAAAGAAAAGGTAGTGGGCAGGGACAAAGGACTTCTTAGCAGAAAGAACTGCTAAGAACTAGAACATATGAATTAGAATTTAAACTGGGGTCAGAAAATATGTCACAATTTGTACCTCAGTTTTAATCCTGATGCATGACAGTGAGAAAAAAGGCTCTTTCTACTTGGGCCTTTTGAGGGAGCTACTTGTCTCCCAAAATGCCCTTAAACTGACTGACTGAAAAACATATCAGGCACTTGAGTGTCCCTTACCACAATTTCCCGGTTGCGTAGTGTTCCATTTGTATTGATTATATAATGGTCTTTATTTTCTTTTTCCTGTAATGGAGCAAATATTAGGAGTTAGAAAGCACTAGTATAGCTATTCCCCAAGGCATTCCATCTTCCATTTAGCATCTCAGTTGGTCTGTAATTTTGCTAAACTGACAATAATCACTCTTGTGTAAGTGTGAGAAGTAAGCTTTGGATTTAGAAGGTGAAAAACCTTTTCCTTCTGAAGGGATAGTATTTCAAAGCTGCCATGCCTGCACACTCCTCTATATCTCCCACTGACCAATAACCAAACAAAAGCAAGCTATTCTATTAAGTCCAATGACCATAGCAATGCTAACTTCACCAGGACTTTTAGGAAAAGTATAGAAGCAACTTTCATGACAATGTGGACAAAAATCATCACCTTTAATAAAGATGGTTGCTCAAGCTAAAGCATAACATGGTGCATCCACTTACCGGAATGGATTTGAACTTTGGCATGCTGTCTGCAAGATCCTTTTTCATCAGTATATATAAAACTGCATCATGAATGGTAAGGAAAAATATGGATGGCTTAAGTTCATCATCAAAAAATCCACATTTTTCCAGTTTATCCAAAACGCCCTCTGTGAGGGAAAGAAAACAAAACCTGTTCAACAGCCTTGAAAACAGTTTTGAAAACCCATTTTATGTTCCAGAGGTTCAGCAACTTGGTTGTGAGTTTCTGAATAAATAAAGAACAGCAGTGACAGACAGTGATCAGGAAGCTGCATGGTACTAGTGGAGTTTTTGAACGGGTTACTAGAAATGTGTCAGACAGAGAAAACTGACTGAAGGAGGGTGATGAGCCTCCTCAGTATGGAAATCTCTTTGATTCAAGAGGCCAAAACAGGTCAGGTGATATTCCTGATCCTTTCGGCTTTTGGTTCATGGCTACGCACTGGGCAACTAGCAGACTTTGTTCTTCTTTATTCCTGTTGATTGCCTTCCGTTACCAAGGCAAAACACCACAGAAGCCAAATCTAGCACTGACATTATTTATAGCAAATCAACAAGAGCAGTCCACGTAAGTCTGAACATGAGATATAGGTGTGTTCTGAGGATATCTTGTAATTCTCGGCTATTGATTTTCATAAACACATTCGTAGCATGCAGTCATTCAGTAAAGGTCACTGAAATTAGTGGGGCATTCTTCCAAATAAAAAACTTGAGTGTATGAACAGCAGTCTAATCATTTTTCAACATGTTGTTGTTTAGATATTTGTAAACAAAACTTGATCAGCTTACCATGCGCTCCTGTAATATATACATCCACATCAATCCGGACAAATTCCTTCAAAATCTATGAAAGTAGAAATTACTCATGTTTATCAAGAAATTGACGAAAGTATACATAAAAAGCATTAGAAAGTGCCTTGCTAAACTGTACCTATGGGTGTAGCATTGTGCAATGTAACACAAACAGTAATATGGTAGAATCTGAATTTGCATTTTTACGCAGTGTATTAGCATATTAAGTAGTGTGTGTGCAAACTGTGTAGTGAATGGCAGGTATAGAATTGTCTGGGAAAATGTGTGCCTGTGGATATGGTTGGAGATAATCTGAGAAAATGTGGAAGGGAGGTTCTGTGTGGAACGGTGTGAGTGTGTCTACAATACATAGTTATAGCAGTTTGATTGCACTTTAATTGTCATTACTCTGTCCTATGGAATCCTGGGACTTGTAGTTTGGTGAGGTACCTAGAATTCACTGCCAGAGAGGTCTAGTCCCTACCCTTGAAGTACAGCACAGAATTCTAAGTACCTCAACCAAACCATTGAAATAAAGGGGAGCTGTGCGGTCAATACAAAACAAAATACAAATGCAAGAATAGGTGACACCGTTATAAACCATGATTTTTAGTGGTCTATAAAGGTATCAGCTATTCTTACATTTGTATTTTATCTCACCAGATTATGGATTCTAGGGTTCCTTGGGATGGAGCCAGAGGAGATAATATGGAATCAAATTGCTGTACCTGTGTATTGTAGCTATAACCACAACAGGGACTGGAATTTCAGGGTAATAGCTGAGCAATAGATTGTAGAAGTTAAAGGGAAAGGTATTTTTAGTACCTAAGTCTATACAATCGACATTACCCTAATCATTTATGTGCCAGAGGATGGTGAGGAGTCAAAAATGAATATGTTAACAGAATTGAATTGTAATCAGTATAATAAATTGTTGGAGTCACAAACTTAGCAGGCTGATGGGCTTTGTGGTGATCACCAAATAATTAGGATAGCAAAGAGTCTCTTAGAAATAGAGGTTAAAGAAGTCAGCCACACACACACAGGAATGTCTGCCAGCAGTGCTCCTGGTGAGCGGCTATTAGAAGAGGCAGAATAACACCGAATGGGTTCCCAATGAATTCTGCCCTGCCCTCCAGGAGGACTGTGCTTTTATTAACCTTACAAGCTCACAGATAGTGGACAGTATGCAGATAGATTACAGAGTTCAGATAGGACAATGGTTACATCATGCCATTATAAATGGCGTAAGAAAAGGCTCTATGCAAGCTCTCTATCACCTATGATAAAGAGGAACGGTGGTACCTCCTCCTCTCAGAAGCAGCTATGACATCATCCAGTAGAGTTTTCTCTACACTGAAGAATCAGCCAACAGCTTAGCAACTTTGGGGAGAAGTGTTCCCCTACAATAAATATTGTTGCTTATTGTAACCATATTCACTGTGTTGTCCCCTGTAACTACCAATTTATACAGGAGAGTAGAGCCCAAAAACCAATGGTATTGTCTTATAGGATGATAACCGTGAGAACTGGATCTTGCAAATGACTCGGTCATGGCTTGCGTGAAGGTGTTTTTGTTGGAACATGTGTTGAGATCACCACTGGAGAAGAACAAGGAAACAGTGCAGGCTGCTTCACATACACAAAATGGAGACTGTGTACATTAGGCAACCATATAAGGATCACAGGGAATTCATGTTGTGGGCTATATGATGGTATATTTGGCTAGAGGTCTTTTGCCAGCTGTGGTTTCCTGTTGCAGAATACAATGGCAAAATAGACATGATACCATTCCATGTACATGGTCAACTGAAAGCAGGATTAATAGCATTTCTCATTGGAAGAGACCCTTAGAATAGTGCTGATGCTGTTGTAGTCCCCTTGGCTCCCATATGCTTAATATTAGCGGCAGTGCTTTTGAGCACTTGTTCTTAACCTTTGTTACTCAGATGTTTTTGGACTGCAACTCCCAGAAGCCTTCACCATCAGCTCTGCTGGCTGGGGTTTCTGGGAGTTGCAGTTCAAAAACACCTGAGTAACAAAGGTTAAGAACCACTGCTTTTGAGTACCAGTCTTCCCATTAACCTAACTTGTGAAACTACTATCAACATAACATTAATATAATAATAGTAGCAACACATTTCCCCTTATGTCAGCATTTCCTCAATAAACATGAGGAAATGCTAGGTCCTAATACTAAGATGGGACCATGTAGCCTACATGGAAAGAGATTAAGTCAGAAATATAATAGGACAGACAAACATTGTACTGCTTCTCCAACCATTGGTTGGCCATTGTATGGAAGGCAATTACCTCTCTAAGGACTCTCAGTGCAGACACATCAAGAAACGAAACTGCAGCGAAATCGAGAATAAGACTATGTATGTCAACCCTTGGGACAGTGATATTAAGAGGCAGGTCAGAGTTCCAGTCTATCTGAATTGGCAAGCCTTTGGTATCCATTGGCTGATCCAGTTCTTCAATGTGGTTGTTGTCTAGCTCTTCATCTGACTCGTTTGCAGCATTAACAGTGCAAAGAAAACCTTTCTGTATGAAAGAAAGAAAACACTCAGAATGCTGATTATTCTGGAAAAGATGCCTCAGAATATCCATTTTACTTTTCAAGGTAAGCTTTTTACTTTTTGTGGTAAAGTGTCTGTAATATTATCTGGGGTGAGTGAGGATTTTGGGGCATCTGCCTTCCAGAGACAGCCTGGAACCAAAATACATTGTGGGTGTTGTTGCGATTCCACTTAGGCTGTAACTGTTACCTTTGTGAGAGAAAATGGTAACCCCTCTTTTTCAGTCTTCCACTTTGCTAAACAATGATATTGATAAACACCCATTTGGACCTCTCAAATTCATTCCCAGTAAAAGCCCACTGACAGGAACAGGGAACTTCAAAATTACATGACAGGTTTCCACCCCGTTGCTCAATTATCTGAGGGCACTTACAGGTGTCACCTGAAGCTCTCCTTTTTTCAGCATCCTTCTGATTTTCCTCAAAGCCTTGTTGCGCTTGCGTAGCACTCTCAGTGGCTTAAAACCAACCTAAAACATTGGAGTTTTTTAAAAAAACTAGTTAAACAGAAGCTAGTTTATCATCATGTTGGTACACTCTAAATATATTTTCAAGTAGGTAATGCAGATCCTGATTTTTTTAATAAAAAAAAATTCTAATTATAGATTTCATTGTATACCCCTCCTCCTCCTAAATAAACACCCAGGTTTTTTAGCAGTTTTTCTAAGGTCTACCCGAGTCACCCGACATAGCCAGCAGGGGCGGCTGAGGGGACTGACGCCGAGGGAGGCCCAGAAGGAGATAACAAGAAACCGGGCCTTCTCGGCGGTCACCCCTCATCTGTGGAACACACTCCCGACTGAAATTCGGCTGGCACCCTCGCTGGGTATTTTCAAAACTCAACTAAAAACCTGGTTATTCAAACAGGCCTTCCCCCAGTCAACTAAGTAATTTTTTCTTTCTCTTTTTTTCCCCCTCTTGTTTCTTGATTTTTGCCATCTTGTATTATATATGTTATACTGTATGCTGTTTTAATGTGTTTTAACTTATGTAAGCCACCCCGAGTAGACGCTGTCTAGAGGGGCGGGGTAAAAATCGAATAAATAAATAAAATAAATAAATAAGCGAACGAAATTTTCCCGATACAATCTCTACAATATGTACAACAATCTTAAATGGGCATATAGTTTTCTCACTGCCACACAAATAAACCCAACTAAGATTATAACACTTTCTTTTTCAGTGAATATTAGCTTGCTGTCTCTAAGGTTTATTCTTTTTCACTTTCAGTGTGCTGTGATTCCAGAGCTGCATGGCCACTTGGATCCTATTTGCTAATGGGAGGTACCAATGCCTTGTAAGCTCAACATTCTGCTCTGAGAAGGGAGAAGATTGAAATGGTGACAATTCAACCCAGGACTCACATTGTTTGGGTGGCAGAGAAAATATCCAACCCCCCAGGGACCAATCAGGTACTGTACATTTTGCAAAGCAAATGGATTAGGTGAAATTGCCCAGGATAATAAACACTGCTTTGATTTCATAAGGTTCCTTGGATCACTGGAAGCAGTCACAAGTGCCTTTTATTTTAGCATAATACAGTGATGCCTCGCAAGATGAAAATAATTCATTCCACGAGTCGTTTCATATTGCGAAAATTTCATCTTGCGAAGTGCGGTTTCCCATAGGAATGTATTGAAATTTAATTAATACATTCCTATTCGTCTTGCGAAGCACGGCCATAGAAAAATTTGTCTTGTGAATCACAAAAAAATCGATTTCGCCTTGCGAGTTTTTTGTTGTGCAAGGCATTCGTCTTGCAAGGAATCACTGTATGCAGAAGTGAAGGGAATCCAGAATCAAGGTTGGGTGTTACTTTTACCAGATCAGTAAAATGCCATTTACAAAAGGGAACTTTCATGTTATAGGAGTCACCTTTATTTTAATGGTTCAATAAAGTAGTAGTGACCCTGACTTTAGATTTTGCTGATGAACCACACTACTCAACTGCTGGATAGCTCAGCAGTTTACATATCCGGCTGCAGAACCAGAGGTTGGGAGTTCAATTCCCCACTATGTCTCCTTGACAGGGGCTGGACTCGATGAACCATAAGGAGCCTTCCAGCTCTGCAGTTCGAAGATGAAGATGACTCTGTTTCTTTTTTAAGTAAAGGAATTGGATGGCCTACTTCGAATTACATTCTTGAATATCAAAATGTTCTGGTCAATATGACATATACTTTGTCATGCCAGCCCCATGTTCTGCATCTCATACTAAAGTAGAAAATACCAATACAGTATTTAAAAATTCACTATTTCTGGGACGTAGTGGCCAGAATACATCAACCGTGAATTCTACTGTTCACTCCAAAATTAGTTAATCTCGCACCCTGAAGCAGCCCTCTGTATACTCTAGAAAGCAGCTCCTGTTCCAGAGGACGGCTTTGATGTAGGTTTGGTGCCATGGGAGAAGGGAGGGAAATATATATATTCTCAATTCTAATAGTGCTGGATGTAGAAGTACTGTTGGATCTTGGCCAGTTGTAAGAGAACAGTAACCACAGATTAACATTTCATACTGATATGAATGTGTTGTAACACTGTCTAGGTCTGATCTTTTGAGTCAGTCATAGTTTGTTCCATTGATGAGACTAATTTTATCTGAATTCAATCCAGTTTCTTCCAATGCTCCATAGAATTTCATATCTACCAACCACTGTGTCCTGAATTGTAAGAGTTGTAAAGAAATCTTGTACAGAAAGTTATATGAGCACATTTCACTCTCAGATGAGAGAGATTACCATCTATCCTTGACAAAAGGTGCTTGACCAAAAGAATGTTGAGGCATAGTTTCATAGTAAAAATAATCCCATGCCATGATAGGCTTATGTTTTTGTAGATTGCTTGATCAACAGCAGGCAGGCCAGTCTGTACTAGTTCACTGGTTCTGTTATTTAGCTATAAACACAAAAATGATTTTTTTAAAAATCACTGGAAGTGAGGTGGGCTCGTATGGAAAGCCTGAAACATTCAGAAGATTCAGACAAGAATCTTACTGTCTCATAGCATACAATTTAAAATTATATGTTTTTTGTTAAGGAATTATCCTCAGTAAAATACTTACAGCTGCAGTCAGTTTCTCCTTGAAGAAGTCAATATTAGCAAAGAAGATTGGTGATGGGCATCTGAAAATTTTGACTCCTTCTGGTTCATAGATCTAGGTAATAAAACACGCTTCTTAGTTCAACACATTCTGTCATAATCACCTTGAAATGATTAGTTAGTTTAATTAAGATTCTTACATCTGTGTAATCTTTTCTGTTTCTGTAGATGTCTTTTCTTCCAATATTAGCCAAAAGTGTGCATTTTGGACTGCAGAATAAATGGGAAAAATCAAATGGGTTAAATAACACAAATAAGTGGAATCTACTGCCATTTGACAAGGATATGCCTCTAAGACAATTTCTACATTATCAACTTAGGTTCAAACTAGGTATCAAGAGTATTGCATTTGCCAGCTATTACTTTGTCTGACAATGGAATTTTCTTACAGATGTGTGCCTCAGGAACCAGACTTGCAAATTAAGTCCATGCTTACATTCTAGTCATGACCAATCAGAAAACAAAGTATATTGGGATGCAAGATATTGAGGTGGGGAAAAACGTGCTAGAATAAATAGAAGTCACTGACTACTTGAGTTTGTTGTTGTTTAGTCATTAAGTCATCTTCCACTTTGTCATGTTTCCAGGGAATACAGTAGGCAAAAGTCCAATAAGTCAGTCCAAAGTCAGAAGTCCAGGAAATACAAAACAGATGCCAAATTGTCAAAGCCACAACATGAACCGTAGTCAGAAGTCAGGGTCCAAGAGTCAAGTAAACAAAGTTCAAGATAGCAGGAGTGTGGACACAGACCCGAAAATGAACTTGTTGCTTCCACAGATTTCCAAGCATTCTAGGTACAAATTATATAGGAGCAGCAACCATCAAACTCCTAGAAGCCTTCCATCCTGTGAAAACTCAAGACTGGTTGACCTGAAAGCATTCATCCGAGCTTCAGATCTTCATGTCATGCGTCTTTGCTGAAGCTTGTTCCTCACTCTGGCTACTGGGGGAGGAGAATCTGGTGGTGATTCAGCTGTCTGTGCTATTTTCCTCTGCTGAAATTAACCCCTCAGATGCCAGATCTTTTTTGGCTGAACTCATGACTCACTGCCTCCCGGAGTTTGGTCAAATTCATGTTGGTAGCTTCGATGACACACTACTTGAGTAGCACTTTTAAATAAACATTTTAAAACTGTACTATTCAGTTTGATTGCTGCAGGCAATTCTGGTAAGTGAAGAGCTGTAAATATTTAACCACCCTCTCCCCTAGAGAGGAGCAGGGAAAATGTTTAATGGACAGCAGAAGGAGCTAGAGGCTCCCTTGAGGTTGATAAGCATTTGGATTTTAGGATTGTGCCCAATGGCATACTACTACTCCCCCTGACTTCAAGGAACCATTTAGACCACACCAGCTTGTTCCCAAAGGGCCAGTGTAGACATGTCCCCACTTTAGAATAGTAAGTCAGTTAGAGTAGGCCCATTTGAATAAATGGAACTTACAGAGAAGTTGGTTCACTAAATCCCCATTGATTCAAAAGGCCTGCTCCAGTGCAAATTTTTATGCCAAGCAACATGATTTTATTTTACAGTGGAATCTTACATGTATAGCATCTTGAGAGTACCTCATAGTATCATTGCACATCCATATGATTATAATATGATGCCCTACTGCGGGAGGAATAGCATGGATGAAATGGACATAACAGCTAACTAGTGAAGAGACACAGTTTTCATATTGTCTGTAAGGCTGGCCCTACTGTTAGACAAAGTGAGGCAGCTGTCTCCGAGAGTAGATGCTAGAGAGGAAAGCAGGGAGATGTATTAAAATGGTGGATGCTGCAAGTAGCTGTCCATGGGCATTCTCAGGTGTTCTCTTCTCAGACTGTTGTTCTTACTGCTGAATTCATTTCATTTATATGAAACTGTATATTTTGTGTGGTCATTCCTGTAATTTGCTTCAGGCAGCAGAATGCCTTGGACCACTAGTGATTGCCTCACATTCTCTCACGCAATATTTTCTAACAGACACAAGTGACATGTTCAGCTATCTGTCACTGAGTGATAAAAAGTTATGGTCTGAAGGACAGAATCAAGTTTTGCTTTTATCATTATAATGCCACTGAGATAAACTGATACATATATCCTGTAATTTATTTCTTTAAAATATTTGTGGGCCTTCTTTAATGGCAAAGATGCTCTTTCAAGGCAACATCTAATCTAAAATGCAGTCCCATTATTGTTTATTTAAGAGTATTATGAATTCCATGAATGTTTGCAAGCATTTTCTTGAGAGTTAACAACCTCTGTGAATTAGGCTAATTTGTTGAGGCCTTTAGCCCATAGTTTCTCTATCTAGTCTTGAGGAAAAACAAATCTCAAAATGATGCTACTGAATATTTCTTATAGGATGTGCAATCATCATTCTTTAAGTTTCAACGGTGTAAATATTTACTTACAATTGTGCACGAAATATGACAGTCAAGAGTTCAAATCCCAGTCCAACTGCTAGCCCAATATCCAGCCCCAGTAAAAGAGCAGCCAGGAAGGTCACAACCCAGATAAGCTGAAAAGGAGAGGGGGAGGGGGAATTCAAACATTCAGATATGAATATATTCAACAATGATGTAAAGTAGGAATTAGGACTGGGCCAAGACAATCTTGCCTTTCTGCATCAGCAGCACATCATGGAAAAAGGTGCAGAAGATTGTGTTGAGGTGCCAAGACCATGATTAAATTAGTTGGAATGATACATACAATATATTTATTTGGAAAACATGATTTGTTACAGAGATAAAAACTTAGAGCAATATATAATTTTAGCCTGGGACTTAGGAGTTATTTGAGTTAGAGCTGAAAAAAAGCATAGGACATTCCTTTTGCAGGACAGATGGCCAGTTGGTCTAATTCAATATTTTTGTGTTCATTGTGTCCGGCAGTATTCCACCATATGAGAGAGAGAGAGAGAGAGAGAGAGAGCACATGTGTGTGTGGGGGGGTGTCATCTTTGGTGTTCTTGGTAGGCCATCTGTTCTCAAACCATACCCCCTGAGCTGCCTCTTTTTGGGCCTCAGGCAAGTTCCGAGGCCAGTTGGCCAGCTCAGGGCCAGGAGGGGAAACCGGCTGATGAGGACTATCTGGATGCAGGGGCACGGACAGATCTCTGCAGCCAGGTGTTGGGGATAAAGCTGGAAGGGAAACTATGGAGGTGGGAGGATTCCAGGAACTCAGAGGAGACCAAGGAGGAGGTAGGAAGAAATCACTGGGGTGTGTGTGTGTGCTGTAGAGAACAAGAGGAAGCTCTGCTTGATGAATAGGTCCACTATGCCCTCATTGAAAACCCTGAGGTTTTCAATGAGGAATTGATGGACTTGAGGCTCTTGTATGGAGAGGGATGAGGCCTGGTTTCCAAGCCAGTCTTGACCAGGTAACTGGCATCATTGGATCATTGGTGGGCTGTGCTCCACTGATGACCCAACCATGATACAAAAGCAGAGCACACATCAAAAACAGAGGCAGTGGCATTTTCAGGAAGGCTTGGGTGGGCCTGTAACACCACAGCAGTCCACCAGTATAAGCTGTCCTTGGAGGGAATCAGCCATTGATATTGAACTGTGAGACTGTGGACAGTTGTCAGTATGAACCAAGGTCTGTCAGAGGGAAAGACAGACCCCTGAGCTAGTGAAGGGAACTGAGCCCCAGAATGGACGAGGGGAGGATGAGGTAAACCCTGTCTTGCTGCCCTCACAATAAAGTCTGCTTTGCACTTTAATTCCTGAGCTTATGGAAGTCACTGTTACAGATTCTGCCACCTCCACCCTAACCCAGTCAGGAGTGGGTGGGGTACATGTTTATTTTAAAGAGTTTTATTTTAATGATGCAACAGTGTTTGCTAAAATATCATCCATCACACCGCCATGCTTGTCTTTTATATTTTATGCTTCTTGTCTTTTATATTTTATGCTTTTAATTGTAATTTATTGTATTGCATTCATTTCTACTGCACTTTATGATAATCGATTTATGCTTGAATTGTATTATTATTATTATTATTCTGTATATGTATCATTTTGTTATTCTGTTGTTTATCTGTTGTGAACTGCCCAGAGTGGCCCTGGCTGCTAGATGGGCAGTATATAAATCAAATTAACAACAACAATAACAACAATGAGAGATGCAAAGGATTGTTAGGCAACATGATATGGTATTGTGCTCATCACTGGTTGCCCCCTTTTAGGATGCACTCCCTCCTCTTTAAATAAGTTACTCTGCATCTTTACTACTGGAAAAGTTGTTTTTTTGGACTAAGAATCCCTCAGCCAGCATGCATATAGGCCCCTTCCAACTCAACTATCCTATGATTCTATGGCCAGTAGAGCCAGCATACCCCGCAGGTAACTTTTCTTAACTCTCAGTTACCTACTTATCCTTTGTGTTCAAACCCTCAGGCTCTGGGGATGTGATTTGTTGATGTGTCTCTGGGAAATGGGGGCAGATGGATATGCCTTAAATATCTCCTTAAATGTCTACTGTGGGAGTTTTAGAGAATCGCACAACTGTGAGTGCTCTGAAAAAGTGCAGCTGTGTAAGCTTGCGCTGAAGATGTGCACAACAATTATCTGAACAAACAAATGAAAAAGAGCAAACACTGACAAAGCAGTCAAAGACTGCAAATCCTCCCATTGTCTTGTATGTGTGCCAGGCAGACTTAGAACAGGCAGTGGTTCCAATGGGAAGGAATCGTTTTAAAAACAAACATATTTTCCATTTCTTTTAGAGCTGAGTCAGGCCTTTCCTCAATTGCTGCTAAAACTGACCTGGCCTATTTTAGATACTGGCACAGATTGAACAATCTAGAGCAGTGGTTCTTAACCTTTGTTACTCGGATGTTTTTGAATTGCAGCTCCCAGAAACCTCAGCCAGCATAGTTGGTGGTGAAGGCTTCTGGGAGTTGCAGTCCAAAACTCCTGAGTAACCCAAGGTTAAGAACCAGTGATCAAGAGGACCTTTCCTTGACAAAGTGCTCCTGGCTAGAACTACAGTTTGGTGGATGGGCACAACAGTGCTACCAAAAACATAAAGCCTAAGACCTCCCACTGGAAAAATTCTTCAGTCTAGGCCCCTGGGACCTTAGAAACTGGATTCTTGACTTTGATGCCAGTCAGGACAGGGCTGTTATTGTCAGGTCCTGTTTTTCCATCTGGTACGCCCAACTTCCCCCCTCACGGATTGCTGCCTTCTCATGGCGAAGGGGCTTGAATAATTCAGAGAAGATATGGGCTACGCTGTGCAGGGATACCCAAGATGGACAGGTCATAGTGGAGAGTTCTGACTAAACACAATCCACCTGGAGCAGGAACTGGCAAGCCACTCCACTATCTTTGCCAAGAAAACCCCATGAACAGAAACAAAAGGCTAAAAGATATGATGTCGGAATATGGGCTACGCTGTGCAGGGATACCCAAGATGGACAGGTCATAGTGGAGAGTTCTGACTAAACACAATCCACCTGGAGCAGGAACTGGCAAGCCACTCCACTATCTTTGCCAAGAAAACCCCATGAACAGAAACAAAAGGCTAAAAGATATGATGTCGGAATATGGGCCCCTCAGGTCAGAAGGCGTCCAACATGCTACTGAGGAAGAGCGGAGGACAAGTACAAGTAGATCCAGAGCTAATGAAGTGGTTGGGCCAAAGCCAAAAGGATGCTCAGCTCTGGACGCGCCTGGAAGTGAAAGGAAAGTCTGATGCTGCAAAGAAAAATACTACATAGGAACCTGGAATGTAAGATCTATGAACCTTGGTAAGCTGGATGTAGTCAAACAGGAGATTGCAAGAATAAACATTGACATCCTGGGCGTCAGTGAATAAAAGTGGACGGGAATGGATGAATTCAGTTCAGACAATTATCATATCTACTATTGTGGGCAAGAAGCCCATACAAGAAATGGAGTAGCCCTCATAGTCAACAAAAGAGTGAGAAAAGCTGTACTGGGATACAATCTCAAAAATGATAGAATGTTTTCAATGTGAATCCAAGGCAGACCGTTCAACATTACAGTAATCCAAGTTTATGCACCAACCACCAATGATGAAGAGGCAGAAAGTGACCAATTCTATGAAGACTTACAACACCTTCTAGAACTGACACTAAAGAAGGATGTTCTTCTCATTATAGGGGACTGGAATGCTAAAGTGGGGAGTCAAGAGATAAAAGAAACAACAGGTAAGTTTGGCCTTGGAGTTCAAAACGAAGCAAGGCAAAGGCTAATAGAGTTTTGTCAAGAGAACAAGCTGCTCATCACAAACACTCTTTTCAGACAACACAAGAGTGGACATCACCAGACGGGCAATACTGAAATCAGATTGATTCTATTCTCTGCAGCCAAAGATGGAGAAGCTCTATACAGTCAGCAAAAACAAGACATGGAGCTGATTGTGGCTCTGATCAATAGCTTCTTATAGCAAAATTCAAGTTTAAATTGAAGAAAGTAGGAAAAACCACTGGGCTAGTCAGGTATAATCTAAACCACATCCCTTATGAATACACAGTGGAAGTGAAGAACAGATTTAAGAAACTAAATTTGGTGGACAGAGTGCCTGAAGAACTATGGATGGAGGCTCGTAACATTGTACAGGAGGCAGCAACAAAAACCATCCCAAAGAGAAGGAAATGCAAGAAAGCAAAGTGGCTCTCCAAAGAGGCCTTACAAATAGCAAAGAAGAGAAGAGAAACAAAATGCAAGGGAGATAGGGGAAGTTACAGAAAACTGAATGCAGACTTCCAAAGAATAGCAAGGAGAGACAAGAGGGCCTTCTTAAATGAACAGTGCAACGAAATAGAGGAAAATAATAGAGAGGGTAAAACCAGAGATCTGTTCAAGAAAATTGCAGATATTAAAGGAACCTTTTGTGCAAAGGTGGACATGATAAAGGACAAAAATGGGAGGGACCTCACAGAAGCAGAAGACATCAAGAAGAGGTGGCAAGAATACACAGAGGAATTATAC